ACTTACACTTATTCACGGGTTTGTACTTACATGAGTAACAGAACGTGTTTTATATGTGGAGCAGGATCTGCTTTTCCTTCCGGAGCACCTGAGATCATTCTAGTTGTTGGCAGGATTCGTTCTGCTTAGCCTTTGATTTTAATGTTGTGTGTTGTGTAAAGCTGTTTGCATGTTTGTTTCGCCTCTCTTTTTGATTTTGCATTAAATTTCAACATTGCTAATAATGGTAATATTTAAACATAATTCAAGAAAGGTAGTGGAAATATATGTTCTCTCTAGAATGCATAATAACTTATCATATAACATAAATATTCATATTCGCTATTTGATACATACCTGAAAAAAACACGGAAAAAGATATTTATTCAAATATTAAGTCACGACACCAAAACATTTTATTACAAAAAAAAATGTATTCTGTGAAAAAACAAACGTTGAACTTCAACACGTTGATTGAATATTTTTTTCATACTATAATCAATCTTATAATTTAAGCTAGAAGGTACACTTAAACGTTTTTTTTTTACAGATAAAGCATATCACCACATTGTCTTTTATGGAACGCCGTAACTGTTATAGTGTAAATATTTAATGGGTTTTGTCGCTTTGTCTTTACGTCCTGTCATTTCTTCTTCATATCTGTGTTATGTAAAATTAATTGTTTGTTTGGTCAAACAATTATATGATATGTCATTGCTGTTCTTTGTTATGTGCAATATGTATTACATTATGTTGTATCTACTGTATGTTCTGTGAATACCACTAAACTTTATGATCAACCACCTTTACGTTCTTTCACATTTCCTCTATGTTGTGTCTATTCTTCCTTTAAGTAAGTAAGTTAATAATTGCGTCCAGTCTCAAATGTGATTGTTATGTTGAATGTTCTAAACGTTTTGTTTTGATACATCTTTGTTCTATGAAAACCTCATTATATTATATTCTATTGGCTTTATGTTGTGTTTATACATATGCATATTCTGTCAAAAGTATAATATATCATGGTATAGCTTATATGCGTTTTGCCGAACAATTGATACTCTCTGTTAACATTCAGGATGTCATGTGAATCTACTGGTATGTTATGTGCAAACACGTAATACATTATGTGTAAACACCTATTACGTTATGTGCAAATGACTATTACATTATGTGCAAATGACTATTACATTATGTGCAAACACTTATTACGTTATGTACATACCTATGACATTATTTGCAAACACTTATTACGTTATGTGCAAACACCTTTTGCGTTATGTGCAATCACCTATTACGTAATACTTATGTTCATATTTTGCAGTAGTTTCCTAGAAGTTCAGCTGAAAAGAACAATATAATATAAAAAAGAAGATGTTGTATGAATGCCAATGTGACAGTTCTTCATATGAGACTACATGACACAGAAATTAAAAACCATTATTCACCGTACGGCCTTCAGCAATGAGCAAAGATCATAACGCATAGTCAGGTATACAGGGCCCCGAAACACGAAATGTGAATAATTCAAACGAGAAAACTAACGGTCTAATTTATGTACAAAAAAAAAATGAACGAAAAACAAATAAGTAACACAGCAACAAACGACAACCACTGAATTACAGGCTCCTAACTTGGGACAGGTACATACATATTGTGGCAGGGTTAGACATGTTAATTGGCGCCCAACCCTCCCCTTGATCCTTGGACAGTAGTGCAACAATTCAATAAAAGAACTGTACAAAAAAATTTAAAAAACGCATGTGATAAACAGCAGCAAACAACAATCACTCAATTACAGGCTCCTGACTTGGGACAGGTCCATAAAGAATGTGGCGGAGTTAAACATATTAGCGGGCGCCCAACCCTCCTGCTAACATTGGACAGTGGTGTAGCAGTACAACATAAGAACAAACTATAAAATCAGTTGAAAAAAGTTTAACTCATCAGTTGATACACATAGAAATACACATTGAATAACAAAAACACAGAGTGGACGTGGCCGGGTACTTGTACACCCAACGACAAACAGACTCTAGGTACAGATCTGAGAGTACTCGCAGTTACTGACAGCTAGTTTAAAGTTCCCATTTTTTCTCCCGACTGCAACCTCAAACAAGAAATATAACGGGTGTCAGGGATGATTAAGTATTTAAGATTATTGATTCGAATAAGAATTGAATATTGTTCCTAAATTACCCTCCCAGTAGGCTATTCAAGTGAGAAACGTGTACCAGTGTAATGCTACCAATATAATGATGTCTCCAACGATCTATGTCGCAGCAAAGGAATTCTTCAAAAAATTTAGATTTTATTGTCGTTCATTTCCCATATCAGTCGTGTATATTATTCTGAATAACATTCCAAAGACCTACTGATACCTCCGTCCTTGACGAGGAGGGTTGAGACGGGTGGGGGCAGGTGGCCCGCCCCTCTTATCTGAAACTTTTTAAAAATGAACAGGGATTTTTGGAAAAATTTGGTCCGATTCTTGATTCTTGATTAGAAGTGTGCAAGACAGGCAAAAAGGTATATTAAAAAGCTGCATTTTCTTTAAAAACTTTTTTCATTTTGAAAACTGCCTTATCCATGTTATCTGTAATCCATAAAAATGACACATACACATATTTCCTCTGAATAAAAAGGGTTATCAGCCTTGTATCACCTTCACTGGCCATACTCGCTATTAAATCCAAAATCACACTGCAATTCCAGATAATGACTTTGATTCATCCGTATTTGGTCCAGTTACTGTCCGAAACGTGTCTTGAAGAACGATAAAAATAAAAATATATATTCTATCTCATTATTACTAAATTCTACCATTTTTTTTTTAAAAAGTGTTGTATCGTTTCTTTTGTTGACAATAAGAATATGAAGATGTGGTATGAATGCCAATGAGACAACTCTCCACAAGAGACCAAATGACACAGTAATTTCCAAATAGGTCACCGTATGGCGTTAAAAAAACCATACCGCAAAGTCAGCTAGTATGTTTATTTTTTTACCCCATTTCATTTTTCTCCAGTTTAAAAAAAAAGGGTTACAGTTAGATAAATCGCTTATATATAATCAATACAATATTCCACCGTTGTTTTTGTTCATCATTTCAACGAATATCGTCGTATAAATTAGAAACATTTATGTACTTTTCCAAACGGAGTCATAAATTCAATGAATATTATTGCCGGATACGGTATTAAAACGGTTACAATGGTTTAGTAAATTTAGCTAAATACACAATGAAGCCAAATTTTTATATAAGGGATTTGCTGCACATCTGAGAAATTTTATTTTAAAGATTATAAGATTGCATACAAATATATTCTGTTGGATCTACATGTAATCATTCTAAAATATACATAGTTTTGACAGTTTCCGTTTTAAATATTGCCATTTTTAGAAATGTCGGTTTATCTTTTTTTGGCTGCTGCTAAAGTGTGAAAAAAAATTGTTAATAGCTATCGAGGCATGAAGTTCATATGATTCAATCCAAATTATCCTCAAAATGCGGAATTCCTCTTAAATTGATGAAATCTGGATCGCCTTGAAATCGACAAAATATTTAGGCAACATTTTGTTAAAAATTCACCTATATGGGTCATTTTAAAAAGATGTCGAATTGTCAGTACACCCATGCCAAAAATTTTATTTCTAAAGGAAAATGCAGTTGTAAGAGTTTAAATGAAAGTTTGTAGGATTTATGAGTCAGAACATTGATAATAAACATGATTTAGATCTATTTTGATAAGATTAATTGATCTTTAAGTGCTATTTTTGCGTAATTTATGTGTGTACAATGTCAAAGTAACACATTTCAAATGTTTTTTTTCCTATTTTCCGATTGCCTTGATATCTGCAAAAGCTACTTTTTGAGAATGTTAATAATAACTCTAACGAAAAATCACAGCTTCTTTATTATTATATGTAACATTATTTCTACAAACAAAATTCAATCAGCGTACATGAAGTTCATGTCCATCCTGTTACCGCTACTTAAATCTACCATTAATTGTTCTCCCTACCAACATTGCACTAGTCAGTGTTGATTTCAAAAGCGCAAAGTAGCCTAAACATTTAACACAGCACGTTTCTTGTATAACAGTGTAGAGAAAAGAAATTTAAAGACATTTTGTGAAAAAAAAATAGTGGGTACTTTTTTGTCATGTCTATGCTGTACCAACATATTTATTAATTACACCAATATTATACTTGTAAAAATTGCAACATCGTGTTGGAAACCAAAATCACAACAGAAAAACATTATCACTTCACCAAAGGGAGCAGTTATTTCACAACAGCATTCAAAACTGAAGAAATTTGTCTATCATGTTATGTCTGTCGTTACTATGGTTGCTACGGTTACAGTAACAGGATAGACAATATTAGACAGAAAAGTCTTTAAAAAGTTTATAATTACATATAGTTGTACACATAATGAAATGTTTTGTTGTTTGAACTCATCTGAAGGTTATTACGTCTTAATCTTCGCAATTGAGCATTTGCAGATGCAATGCTGCTATCGGTAACAGGGTAGACAAAAACTCTACGTTTTTTAAGAATTGTTGTACAATAATCACTACATACAAAACTGCAACCTATAATATGTTAATATTAAAAAATATGTTTTCATTATACTTAAAAAAATAATTATGTATATAACTTCAATATTAATAGTCGTTTCAAGTAAAAGTATGACACAGAACGTTTATTTTTGTTCGATTGTCATGAGTAAATTTCCAACAAATCTATGGCTTCCATGAATTAATTCTTCAATATTTACCGATTAAACCAATTGTATTTTGTAATTGTTTTTACATGATTTGATTCAATATATGTTATGAAAAAAAAAGATGCAAATTCATTTGACTATTTTATAAAACAGCAATTAATCTGTTAGAAAGTCCATCCCCAGAATTCAATTATAAGAACGTTAATATGAACCTTAAATAACAAGTTAGTATAAAAAATATTTTGCTTTTTTTAAAATAGTCTACTTGAAAAAAAATTCAAAACCTGTCGAAGTTGATCTTTTTGTTGGTACAGGTACACTATAAATGGCAATTTGATTGGATCTTTTTCGCAAATATGCTCATGTGTATGAAACCGATATTACAGATTGGGAAATGTATTTATGCCTTAATTTGAAGACTTCATATATTTCAAAAACCAATTATTTGTTTATAGATTTGCTTTTATTACAAGTATTCTTTTTATGTTCTAGAGGACTTGGTAAAATAGAAAGTTACAGGATTTCTTCGTAATGCGCATGTCCATTGGCCTCCACATAAATGGCATCAATATATTCTGAAGCCTCATTATCTTCATATTCCTCGTTATGGCAATCCTGAAGGTCTTAAAGACGGACCTGGTTTTCTATGTAAGGTGCGGCATGGTAACTATTAGAAATAGAAATCGAAACAATCAAGATTAGAAATTGTAAAACATAAACAGCAATAAACAAGTAAAAGCAACTTGAACGTTTTCGTAAAGTATGAATATATATTATATAGCCTTCAAAATACCGTTTCGATTCCTAACATCACCGAAGAGACATTAATTGTCGAAATCCGGATATAGTGTACTAATTTTTGCACCTTTTGTTTGCGGTATACCATCTTTTTCGCTAGTTCATTGTTTTCTGTTTGGTATTAAATTAATAGTTAAGATCCATTTTGTTATATCTGGTGATCCGTTTATTTGGCAATCGCCAATAGCAGTCAGAAGGATTTAAGAACATCCGTTGTTCGACCTGCTAGTCAAATCGAACATCCGTTGTTCGACCTGCTAGTCAAATGCGTTTTGTTAAAATATTCTTTTTCACTTTTTTGGTCTTTCGGGAAATGCTGTTTGTGCTGTATTTAGACCCCTCTACCAAGAAATTTGTTTTTCATGCACACGAATAAAAATTGCGGTTTTTATCCAACGCAATCATAGTTATAATATACGTAAAATGTCTGAATAATAGCCAACGATAAATCTTACGGGGCGATGGCTCATATAATTATACAAAATATAATAAATAACAAGTCTAAAAGGGTACAACAATAAAATTATGAACAAATGTTAAATATTTCGGATAACTAATATTCTTCATCAGTAACATGTCAAATTAATCTTATCTTGTCATGTAGAAGTCAAACTGAAATAATAATCTTGAACATTATAAAAATTATCACGAACCAATACGCTGGTAAAAAAAATTAATAGTGATGTTTGGGCGGAGGAATAAATTCCTTAAAACTGTAAGACTCCTGAGTTACACGAAACAAGTGATGGTAGGAAAATGAGTAATGGTAGGGAAAATGAGTGACTCATTCTATGTTTTTTCATCAATCCCTCTGGGGAAACTGTCCTTATCTTTCTTATCCAAAACCTTTCCCGAGCAAGTCTGTCGGCCTCTGACCAACCCTCGTTGTGGTCTATGATAGTGATGGTAAGGTTGTTGAGACCAGCTTGGGCGTGCCCAGGTGATCTCAAATGACGATTTACGGGGAGGTCGGGTTTGCAGGTGTAGTCACTTCGATGACCATTCATGCGTTTGTTGAATGGCTGTTCTGTCTCGCCAACATACTGCATGCCACATCGACACTGAAGAAGGTATACAACATTCTGGGTTTTGCAAGTTGCATTGCAAAATATAGTGTACAAAGACCCAGTGGAGTGGCAAGTAAATGTTTGAGTATTGAGTTCAAAACACCACAGATTACCTTCGTAAAATGGAATTCATGAACCCTCTTCCTCTGGAAACTCTCATTGTCACTTTAGATGTCAGCTCATTGTATACCAACATACCTCATGATGACGGAATACAATCGTGTAAGGAAATATGGGACTCGCGTAACACTTTAGAACCACCTATCGAATGTTTAGTCCAGCTGCTTACTTTGGTTCTGAAATGCAACAAATTCACCTTTAATGGTGAACATTAACCTTCAGATAAACGGGACAGCGATGGGGACGAAAATAGCACCGTCTTACGCCAATATTTTCATGGGCAAATAAGAGAAACAAATTATTTCAACATCTTTCTCCCTAAAGTTGTCACTCCAAACAGTAAACAAAAAGTATCCCGTACAGTCAAGCTCTCAGATTAAAGCGGATTTGCTCCTCTGAGGAGGCTTCACTAAACGGCTACAGGAACTTCGCGGATGTTTGACCAAACTTATTCATAAGAAATCAGACATAGATAAGGGGTTTGCGCGTGCTAACAAAAACAGCCGCAATGACCTATTTCAGTACAAACAGAAGAAACGAAGCGAAATAGTTCCGTTTGTTTTAACATACAATCCCGCCTTTACTAACCTTTTGCGTTTGATCCGTGCCAATTGGCAGATTATTGCCAAGCACCCAAAATTATCCAAGATCTTTCCAAAACTTCCTGCCTTAGCTTTTCCAAGACCAGGAAGTCTGAAAGACTTATTTGTGAGAGCTGATGTCTCCTCTAATAAAAGCTCTTCCACTGCAGGATGGTGCAAGTCGTGTGGTAACAGACGATGTCCGACTTGCCAACAAATACTCAATACTCAAACATTTACTTGCCACTCCATTGGGTCTGTGTGCACTATATTTTGCCATGTAACTTGCAAAACCCAGAATGTGGTATACCTTCTGCAGTGTCGATGTGGCATTCAGTATGTTGGCGAGACAGAACAGCCATTCAACAAACGCATGAATGGTCATCGAAGTGACTACACCTGCAAGCCCGACCTCCCCGTAAGTCGTCATTTGAGATCACCTGGGCATACCCAAGCTGATCTCAAAAACCTTACCATCACTATCATAGACCACAACGAGGGTTGGTCAAGGGTAGACAGACTTGCTCGGGAAAGGTTTTGGATAAGAAAGTTTAGGACAGTTTCCCCAGAGGGCATTAGTGACAAAAACATAGAATGAGTCACTCATTTTCCCTACCATCACTCATTTTCCGACCATCACTTGTTTCCTGTAACTCAGGCTACCGTACAGGAGTCTTACAGTTTTAAGGAATTTATTCATCCTCCCAAACATCAATATTAAATTTTTACCAGTGTATTGATTCTTGGTATAACGATCAAGATTATTATTTCAGTTTGACTACCACATGTCAAGATAAGATTCATTTGACATCTTACTGATGAAGGATATTAGTTATCCGAAATATTTAACTTTTGTTCATGATTTTATTTTTTTATTTGGTGATGTTGTACCTTTTTAGACTTGTTATATATATACATATTAAACATGCCAAAGACAGATAAATTGCTAAAACTTGCTGAGACATTTTGATAACGACATTTATGGATAAAAAGTCAAGACCGTTCGGAATGGGAGGTTATATCAAATGTATTGGATGTAAAGATCTTTGCTCTCGAAACTTGAATGAAAGACTGTACGGACTCTAAGAGAGGACCGTTGTTGGACTTTTTGCTACTTTTTTGAATTCGCATGCATTATTTGCCACTAAATGTTCTGTTCTGGTAGATTATCTTTGATTGACAGAAATATTGCAATTTAGTACATGCATTTGTACATGCAATTTCTGGGAGGATTGGTGAATAGAATTGATATACTTCAATAACATTTTTTAACTTTCATGCCATTTAAAATATATACTTATTTTTAAGGAAATATCTGACAAGTTTATTTGGTGTTTTAAACAGGGAAAAGGCTTGTTAAAATAGGTAAATATATTAAAACTTATTCGTAGTTCGTAAACTGTTAAGTTGAAAAATTAACTGCGTTGTGAAATTCAAATAACGTTCACCAGTTTCCCTTATGATTTATCTAAACAACTTACATGACTGCTGCATTATCACTTGTTAAATCTCCACCTTTAATCAAAACAAAGCTTATTGAAATATGGAAACTACAGATATTCTGACCAATCTTGAAATAGGTGCCGAGTGCTAACAAAAAATCTATGCGTAGCAAACGAAATGATTTTCTTTCGGTGTCTGTTGTTAACTTCCGATTTTTTTTTTAAATTATCATACTATCTGCTAAAGGCTACGGCATTTACGTTTTACAAACGATAAGATATTGTAGAATTTTAGATTTAAGATACATTAGAACGTAACTAAATATTTATTACTTTTCGATGATGAAAACTAATAGGCCTACATTCTGTCAATATTATGTGCCGATTTTTTGACATTACACAGGTCATGCCAGGTCAGTCCCCGAGGGTATCACCGTCCAAGTAGTCAGTACTTTGGCACTGGCATGAAAATACTGATTTTGTGTTATTAAAATTTGCTCTTTCAAAATTTCGGAATTTTTTGCCAAAAAAAGAAATATATCTCCCTCATGCAAAGCTCTGATTCCTTTCCCCACTTTGGCTTTACCTTTTTGTCTTGTTTGCTTTCTAAGCTCTTAATTTGTTAATAAGCTTTGGATTTTTAAATAATACGGCATCACTGAAGATCGAAACTGGTGCAGAAAAATCGGTACCGTTAATGTTATCATGCTTTTCTCGGATTATAGATTACGTCCTTACACTAAATCCTTAGGAAATGGACCGATTGATACTTCATTTTGGGAGAACATGATGGCTTTGGACTAGCTTTAAGTAACTGCAAGTACTCTTAAATCGATATGTTGTGTCTTTTGTCTTCAATATGTTTCATGTGTGTTGTGCGTCTTGTCGATCTGATGGATCAAATCTTTTACAACTGATTTTTACAGTCCATTCTCATGTTGTACTGTTACACTATTATCCCATTAAGGGGAAGTATTGGACGCTCAGAACATGCTTAACTCTGCCAGATTCGTAATGTTCCTAACGCAAGCCAGGAACATGTACTTCAGTAGTTGTCTTAGGTTGCTGTTTGTTATTTTTGTTTTCGTTTATTGTTTTTGTTTATTTGTTTAAATTCCCATGTCTGGATCTTTTATAGCTGACTACACGGTATGGGTTTGATCATTGTTGAAGCCGTACGGTGACCTATAATTGATTAAATACACGTAATGTGAACATTGTTGTATAGTTGGCTCATTGGCAATCATACCTCAAATGTTAGATATAAAAATTTAGATGTTGTATGATTGCCAATCAGACAACTCTCCACAAAAGATCAAATGCCATCGAAGTTAACAACTATGAATTACTGTACGGCCTTCAAAATGAGCAAAACCCATACCGCATAGTCAGCTATAAAAGGCACCAAAATGACAAATGTAAACCAGTTGAAACGAGAAAACCAACGACTTGATTTATTTACAAAATAATGAACGAAAAACAAATATGATATACAGCAACAAACAACAACCACTGAATTTCATGCTGCTGACTTGAGACAACAGCATTCAGAATGTGGCGGGATTTAACATGTTTGCCGGCGCCCAACCATCCCCTTACCTTGGACAGTGGTGTTAAAGCACAACGTATGAACCAACTGTAAAAATAAGTTGAAAAGGACTGAATTCATCAGATCGACACAAAGCAGAAAAAAAAAACAAGTTACAAAAACACAGATCAGACGGGGTAGGGTATTAAACATCCACACAACAAATACATTAAATACAGATCTAAGAGTACTCACAGTTACTGACAGCTAGTCCAAAGACAATAAAAACGAATAAAAAGATCATGTATCTATGACTAAGGTTATATACTACCAGTCCTGGTCTTATTATTTTTGTTTCTAAGATAAGAGAGATGCATGAAGTTAGAAAATCAAAGTGCTCACAAGAATAATTCTTATTTGATTTTGGTTATGTGACGATTAACATTGACTAAACAAACTCGTTCTGTTTTATGCTTTTTCACTGTTAAACTACACATCAACCTAAGCTTAGTGATGCGTGCTATAGAGCTACCACACTTATCCTTAACCGGCTTCCGAAAGACATTCATTACTGCGTCCATGACTCGTTCATCAGTAAAACATCGACGTGGTTAGCGGGCTGCCTAGCTGATCATCCTGGCCCTGGAGATAGCTAGTGTGAAGTACTTCAAACCAAATCAAAGTAGTCAATAAACCAAATCGATCCACGCAAAACCAAAATGGCCTCCTTTTTCCAGCTTTACAACAACAACAATGTTCTAGTCTAACCAAACGCCTTAGAACGCCGAGCCGACCGTGCGAGAACTTAACAGCCAGTTAAGGTCGTTAAAAGCTACCTTAGTAGTAGCTCTTCAACTTCATATTTCATAGGGCTTCAAACTGTTTCAATTTGAGCGCTACTGATCAGTGTTCATTAGACGAAACGCGCGTCTGGTGTACCGAAATTAAAATCGGGTATCTTTGTTGAGTTTCTATATATTAATATAAACAATGCAACCTACTATAACGTCTTTTCATAAATAGTGCAGTCATAGAAACTGTAACGATGAATACAACAACACTTGTCAGAATCCACAGTACTGCTGTTAGTTTGTGCGTTGCACCTGTAAATCATAAACCATAAAGATGAGCATAGTGTTAGTGGATATCGACCATTACCGTCGAAAACCTCCGTTGGACTTAAAAGTGCATAAAACTTGATATTAGATTTTTTTAAGCTGCTGTCTTTTCACCTATTTGAGCGTCGTTCCTGGGAATGAAATGATATGTTGATAAAATCTCATTTTTATTTCGATAATTCAACGGTGGGTTTTTCCCACTATTGGTTGTTGTATTTATTCGCGAACAAACTTTTTTAAATTTCTTTTTCAATATACACGGATAAAATTATCCTTCAAACATAATTACGTTTTTAATGACATGCACTTTGCATCAAATAAATAATACAAAACAAATTATAGTTTTGGATAATCAATTAGCAATTATAAATTGTAGACATATGACAACATGTTACATTATTTTGTACAAAATACAAATCATACCAAAGAGGCTGAGAGATTCTAATTAATGCCGTTATGAAATAAGTTAGGAGAAAAATTGACATACCCCACTTGGTAATAATAACAATTTGCATCTTATATGGTGCATTATAATTGAAGTATATAGTTATATTTAAGTTATACTTTAGCTTAATGTAAAGTTTGAAAATTAAACCTCTATATATGAATAAGCTAAGCATCAAACGGTACACAGCAATACACGTTTTGGGTTTTAAAAACTGTAAAAATAAAATCATACTAAATCATGTTAATTGTGATATTGTAGTTATTAAAACGATTACTTGCAGATCATATAGCAAAAATATAATTTTATTAAGATCTAAAAACGTTAACATAATGCATAATTGATGAGTGCCTTTAAAAACGTAAAATATCAACTGTAATTCATAGTAAAACTAAAAGTAAGCACTGTTACATTTTCAAGAAAAAATCTAAAGTCAGTTTGAAAGGATAAAAAACGAATAAATCGCCAATGCAATTCTATTTGATGCATTATGTCATGCATATAAAATAAATATATAACGTAAAAATAGTTTTTTAACCTAAAGTACTAATTACATACGCTGATACATTAACGCAGTAACATTGATATGTCACACATATCAAGTTACATCATAATATGGACCTTTAGTTAGTACATGACATAAATAATTAACCCATATCTATTTGATATCTATATATATTGATAGATATATATAGGTTTTGCAGATGTTGCATACTTGTTGCAAACACGCTGTTGCTCCTTGACATCGTGTTTCAAAACGAATTAGTTGGACGAATCAATGGTCACAATTTAATGTTTTGCTACAAATGATTGATTATTTTATAAATGAGTATCGGTTTAGAACAAAACGTAATGACAATAGATATGATTTTGAATTATGAAATTTTCATTTCTATGTTGAAGCATGCCGGTAATGTCTGCATGTGGAGCATACATCGCTTCAAAGTTTTACATACTTAATACTATCTGGTTGCTTTTTATTGTATATCTTCGGATAGCCAACAACGCCATATTAAAGACGGAAAGTGTTTAATGTACAGCTAAGAAATTGCAAGTTGGCGATCGGAAAGCTGTACATTAAATGTGTCATAGATAAAAGTATGGAGTCGTCTAGTAGTGTCACTGATGGTAAGTTGATGTCTTATCAGTGTATACCACACATTAAGTAATTTGTGTCAGATGTATGTATTAAACCTTATTTTCAACTTATTTTTTGTGGTATATCGTTATTTTATGGTATTACTGAATATATAGTGCTTAATTATTTGGTCTGCCAGACTGTTTACTCTGAATTTAATTGATAGTTCTTCCTTTGTGTGTTTACTCGTACACGTATAGACCCTGTTCGGCCTTTGCAGAATAACAACACAGTTGGTTTTTTTTTTCTTCAAGCATAAACATCACCTTTTATCATTATTTCAAACTCGTGCGTTGTCTTCCCGTAATCATTTCCTACAACAACAGCATATGTACCTCTACGATGGCTTAAAAGCGTCATATTTACGAAATAGACACCAGTTTTTATTCTTGTATTGTAAATGAAAATCAGGATAGATGTGTCACTGGCTTCTGATGAACTATTGATGAGCTTACGAAGATGGTACCACTGCACACTGGTTGGCGGAGCAATTGAGTAAAACGTCTTTGATAAATATATTGCCAGATCACTAATGATCTCTGAGTCCACTACAACAGACAGGTCGTTCTAGAATATAGATCGTTATCGCTCAGAAAAAAAATGATACAGGTTTTTTTTCAAATTATTATTATATCTAGATTAAGATCTTCGACATTGATAATCAGGTCGTTTTCATTTTCAAAAAGACTAATAGATGAAGCGTACCATTTCTATAATTATTCCGTTGACAAACGTTGTCATGAAAGAAAAGTATTGCAAGTTGAAAAAACTCAAAGCCGAATACGAACCTTGTACTAAGTATTTAGATGAAAATTGTTTTGGAATAGACAAATTAAAAAGCAATACAACAAAATATTTATATGATACAGGCATGGGGTAATGCAAATTTGTAATTGCAATGCATGGTAATGCATTACATTTTTCCAAATTATTGCATGTAATGTGTAATGCGGCAATTTTTGCATTACATGTAATTGTAATTTGATGTATTACTTTAGCAAAAAGTTGTGTAATTTCATGCATTTCATTGCATTACATGGCATTACTTTTTTCACATACTATATATCTTTAACATATTGATGGAGATTTAACTAAAGCAGAATTTAAGATTTCTTGATTAACTAAGAACATAATCATTTGGATATTGATGTTCTACTTAATATTCATTTTTCACACTTTACATAAATCACTAAAGGGAATTTGGAGATTAAGCCTTACCCCAGGTAGAACTTAAACAAAATTGGTATAAAAACTAGACTGACCAAATTACATTTCTTTCTATTTTTATTTCATTTTATTTCATACATTTTCAAGCAAAAAAAAAGATTAATATTTGTAAAGAATTATAGTAAAAGTGTTCCATTATTGTAAAACGATCAATGAATATCTTGTCATGACTAAATAACAGATAATTAAACATTGTCATAAAACACTAATTAGTTTACTTTTACAAATTGTGAATTCGATGGAGAGTTGTCTCATTGACACTTTTCATGGGCCACATCTTCTTATATCTATTTAAGTTAAAATAAGTATTAAACTTCATCTCTGTAATTTCTTTTTGGAGAAAACACAGAGATGTGTACTTTTAAACATAGAAAGCGAATGAAGGATGAAACCTTCGAAACCCTTATGATGTTAAAATGTAATAGTCGTATTGAATAGACCTTTTACATGTATATTGAAATGCAATACACAGAACACTTACTGCATATGCTAGAATCTTTTGTGACTTCATGTTGTTTTTCAAAATGTTTGATTTTTCTTTTCACTTAATAATAAAATTTACAAATGTAATGTGTAATTCAATGCATTACTTTGAAAAGTAATTGTAATGTAATGCATTACTTTGATAAATACTTGTAATTGTTATTGTAATTTAATGCATGGTTTTGTCAAAGTAATTGTAATATAATGCATTACATTGCAATGTAATTTGCCCCATGCCTGATATGATACCAACTTATATATTTTATATTGTTTTGACAAAACATTTATACTTGTTCATTACGCACGTTTCGTGTCTTTTACTGTTCTACTTGATATTAAAACAGAACTCTCTAACTGATCGTTTGGAAATTGTTCGATTAAGATATAAACATTGAAAAAATGTTGGTTTTTTGTTAATTTTCTTATCATGCATGGTTCCAATAATATATTGTCACTAATGGATAATTTACAGTAATTACATACTTTTCTCGCTTCATTTTATGAGGTTATATTTTCAGTATTAACACATGTTTTAAACAGGGCTATAACCATGATAACCGTTTTGAAATTATACAGATAAAAATTATCTACCTTATCTATTTGATACGAAATCAAATTTATATGAATATAAAACAAAACGAGATTTGGCATAATTGCCTGTGAAACAACCATTCACATGAGTTCGAATATCTGTGTAATAAGGAATTATGGATCATCGTGCGGACTTCAACGATGAGAAAAACCAATATCGTATAGTAAGCAAAAACAATGAAAAATATGAAACAATATAAACGAGGAAACTAACGGCCTAATGTATTACAATACCATGTATAAACAATAAATGTGACTTTTACCAACGACAAACACTGAATGACAGTATCCTGCCTTAGGACAAGCATATACAACATGTGATGGGGTTTAACATGGTTTTTAGTGCTCAAATCGTCCCTAACCTAGGACAGTGATGTAACAGCACAGCATTAGAAGAAACTGTAAAAATCAGCAGTTCACAACAAATCGGTACGAAGCACAAAAACCAACAAACACACATGCAAAAATACACTAGACACCAATCACCGATATAAGAGTAGTCGCAGTTACTGAGAGCTAGTTCAAAGTCAAGTACAACTTGCAAATACATTATGTTTTCCTATATTACCAATCGGTATACATCGAACGGATTTAGTGTAAAACGTTATAAACAGCCTACGAAACGCAACATCTTCTGCTATTTCGAGTTAAAATTAATAATATCGACAGAATGTAGTATTACGAATACTCAATATATTGTTTATCTTTTTTTGGTTTTTCTTAGCTTATCATTTTTTTAATCAGGTTTAAATTTTCAAATATTTTGATCTTGAGCATCAATAAAGTAAGATCGATAAAGTCTTTGTTATCATAACTGCACATATAAATAATTAGGTCGATAGCACTTGTGGTGGATTGTTAGTTCCGGAGGGCAACACCAGTAGCCAGTTCTTCGGTACTAACATGAAAATACGGATATCATTTGATGGAAATTTGCTGTGAAAAACACGCTAAGTTCGGATTTAGTTATAACGTATATCATTTTCGGTTTGATCAGCTGTTCAACGTTTGTATTATTCTTGGCTTTTTAAATGATTCGACCTTGAGCATAACAGAAAAGACTTTAATTGTCAAAATGCGCATCTGTTGCAGTAAAGTTGACACCTTGTATGTTATATATGTATATTTACTTATGTTTTGATTTGTGTTAACAAAAATCAATGTTAGTACCTACAAAACCAATATTCAAAGATTTTACTACCTAACGGCGTTAACGGATAACCTTTACGATCAATAAGTTCACATGGATCGGATCTTAATTTAGGGGATATATAAATAACATAACCATTAACTCTAGAAGGAAATATCTATGGAAGATTTTAGTAAGTATTTTAACTTATGGTAAGGGTTTCAAAACACCTGACTCGTTATACATAAATATCGTACATTGAATTCTAAAACGTGACTATTGACACGAGAAAAGCAAACTATTTGCAAAATGTACACACCATACAAAGGCAGCAAAGAAAATAGCAACGTCCAAAAACGGAAAGTTAACCTACGGAACGACAAAAAATCTCTTATTTAATCACCATGGCCCCAGGTAAGTGGTAGGGTTTGTGAGGCGTTCAACATGTTTAACCCTGCCATATTATTTATGTGCCTATCCAAAGTCAGGAGCCTCTAATTCAGTGTTTGCCGTTTGTTGCTGTATGTCATATTTGTTGGGGTATTTTTTTTCGTTACTTGTTTTGTAAATAAATCAGGACGTTGTTTTTCACGTTTGAATTGTGTAACATTTGTTATTTCAGGTTCTTTTATAGCTTACTATACGGCATAGGGTTTTGTTCATTCTATAGTTATTTTGCACTAAAAATTGCTGTTCCATGCCTTTTTAAAACAATATTGCAAATCGTATATGTTTTAGTAAAATTTTATTTTAATTCACATCGTTGACCAACATAAACTAATTTGTTTCCAAAATGCAATGCATAATTTACTTTTGACAGATATTTGGTTCTCCTTGAAAAATACTGGATCATGATATATCTAAATTGCAGTCCCAAGTAATCTGACTTAGGGTTAAATGATCAAAATTGCACAATTAAATATATGTTTTTAAATGTTAAAGTGTAAACATATTCAGTTGTGAATATGATGATACTTATCAACGAAATAAGATAAAAAGAAGTTAAAAATGCCCCTGGTGTGGAATAAATTCATGATAAATTGATCCTACTTCTTAATTTCCTTATTTCAATCAGAGTTTTATATGTTGTATAGATAGCTGTTTATTGTTGTCGACTGTAAGATGCCAGTATTATAACAAAGAAGATGTGGTATGATTGCCAATGAGACAGCTCTCCACAAGAGACCAAATGACACAGATATTAACAGCTATACATCACCATAAGGCCTTCAACAATGAGCAAAGCCCATACTGCAAACTTTAAGACAGCAATGAAAGGCCCCGAAATCACACTGCATGTATGATTTTCTTTGTCGTTGGATTGCTGCCTCATTGACGCAAATCCATATCTCCTTTTTTTCATATAAACATGAAAGGAATGAGACATCGTTCGTAGTGGATTGACGTGATTCGTGTAAGCAAAATGTGTCTGTCCAAATGCAGAATCTGCTGTCGGTGGTTGACTGGTTGTCATTTATCCATGTTCGTTTTTTCAAATTTGTTTTAGTTCATTCTTTGCGACGGGATGACTTATCCTTTGTTATTCCTTTACACAAGCCATTGTGATATGTATACAATATCTAAAAAAAATATTTATATATTTGGACAGCATTATGCGAAAACAAAACGATCACTTCAGAGAAAATAAAAAAAAAAGTTGGAACAAATGATCAAATCATTTAAGACATCGAAAAGATGAGACTTCCAGTAATTGTTTTGGTGTACAGTCACGGCACCACATGATTTGAGGAACGTTCCCGGAAGACGTCGATCTGAGTCTTTCATATATGAAATATGGCACTGAATATTGACTAAAGACTTTAAGTTGCTTATAACTTTTGGTTGTTCAATAAGGAATGTACTCAAGACATATAGTATGCAAATGCCATTCAATGTTTCATATTTATCATTCATTATTTTTAATAACATTGTTCCGTGCGTATTTCTTAAGATAAATAGAACTATAATTAATGCATTCAACTCTTAGTTTCGCCATTTCCTCGGATTGAACTATCCCTAAATGGATAAAATAATGTCTGTCCAATTTGCAGACTAAAGCAGGCGTTATTTTTTCCGATATTTTTTTTCAATCGAATTGTCTAAATTACATTACTTTAATAA